GGCATTCTGATTTCAATTCGGTATTCCGTTTTTAATCCGGCATTCTGATTTTAATCCTGTATTTCGTTTTCTAAATCGGCATTTCCGTTTTATTTCGGTATTGGAAATTAGGGTTACGGAAAATTTCGATTTTTGAGCAATTTGGGAAATTTGAACGTTTTGGAACCGTAAAACCGGAAATTCCGCAGAAACGCGGAAAATTAGGGTTGGGCTCCGAAATTTTCGCGATTTTTTTTTTTTTTCTTTCCCTAAGTTTGAAAATTCCGAAAACGGACTTAGGCCTTTAAAAATCGGATTTTGTAGGTTGAAATTCCCGAAATTTTACGATTTTCGAAAATTCGAGTGTTTTTCTTCCTAAATTTCCGATTTTTTTTTATTTTTTTTTTGGCAAAACTGTTCGTAATTATTCCCCTAGAATCGCAACTTTCGGGGTAGTTCACTATTCAACGGTGAACTCCCGGACTATAGATGATCTCAACGGATACCTAATCCTTACAATTCAAATTCGGGAATTATCATTATTACAATTATTGTTTTATTGATTATTATTAAGAAATAATTAATTCATTATTAATCATTAATTAAACTTTATTGATTATTAATTCGTTATTATTTTCTTATTTACGAATTTTGAGTTGTTTTCAGGGAAAGTTTATCTTTTTCTGGTTGATTAGGTGTCTTAAGTCCATCATTGGGACAGGGGCTGTATGAGAATTGCCTGATCTGTTCTACCCCTGTACCCACCCTCTCCCTCTCACTGTTCTGCGACCATTCGGACGGGCCAGCCTTCAGCAGCAGTTCATTGATGCCAGCAGGGCAAGCCACCGATCAGCAGCCACGACGCAACAGAAGACTCGCAGATCGCCAACAGCAACCTGCAGTCCGAGAGCAGCCACCAACCGGCACTCAGATGGCGAACACGCCGAACAGCAGGACGTCATCCGAGACGTCGACATCTAGCAATGTCGAACCATTGCCGGTCTGTCCTGCTCAAGGGACGAATGAGCCCATCGCGGACTACATTCAGAGAGTGCAGACCTATACGGCCGCACTAACCCTTGCCAAGGAACGGCAAGATGTTGCCAAAGCAGACAAACAACGCCTAGCAGCAGAAGCTGCAGCCCGCGCCCAGCAACAAGCTGATGCGGCGCAGTTGGCGACCGACCAGCTCAACGCCGACAGTGCCGAGCTTCTGATCTCTCAACAAGACCAGTGGACAGCGGTACTCAACGGGATGTGTCATGTTCCCGTAGCGGGCGCCGAGCCGGCGGCAATACAACAGGAGAGACAAAACCTGGCAGACATTCTACTCAACACAATGCATGCCGTCATCTGGAACAACACCATGGGGGAACTTCATTCCCGATCTACACAGCAGCTACAGAACGATCTCACCCATAACGTGAAGACGCTTGCAGCAGCCGTTAAGGTCGCGGACTCCCAGCTGAAACAGATGGACGCCCGCATTGCTGCTCTGGAGGCAAGGCCTTCCCAAGCAGCGCTAGGCTGCACGACTGACACAACGAAGCAGCTCAACGGGCGCATCGACCATGTCGTCAACCTCATCGGCGACCTAGGTGCTTTCACTGGTCCGGACACGATCAGCAGCACGGTGGCTGCCATCAAGACGGACATCGCCAAGCTGCAGACAAGACCGGACGCCGCTACAAAGAACTACAAGATGCCGCACTTCAACATCAGCAAGTTCGACGACTACAACAAGACAGACGCGTTGACATGGTGGCAAGGCTTCCTCACGGAAGCATCTTGCCGCACTGTCCCGACTGAAGACATGTTGAAGGCGCTCTACTTACAACTGATTGGAGGAGCACAGGCATGGATGAATCATCTGGCGGCAACCAAGCAATGCACCATCGCCGAACTCCACACGCACATTACGTGGAAGGAGTTCGAGCAACTGTGGCTCACTCGGTTCATGATCCGCAACGTCGTGAAGGCGGCCATGAACGAGGTGTATACCAGCTCACAAGGAAGCATGCGAACTCGAGACTGGACAATCAAGTGGCAGAAGATAGTGACCACGCCAGGCTTCGATTTGAGTTTTCCAAACCAACGATCCGAGTTTTTCTCGCGATCGTGCGCAGGATTGCGGTCGGCACTCGGCAACGAGTACGACTATGCCTCGTTCTAGGCTATTCTGGATCGTGCGAACCTAGCCATCCAGACGGGCGACAAGGCCGCTAACGAGAAACAGTCCCAGCCACACAATGTGGCTAAGCAGGGCTATCAACGACCGACACATAACAATGTCGTGCTTCCAGATGAATCAGTCGATCTCCACGCTGCAGCAGCATCCTCGGGTGATGGAGGAGTTCTTGCAGCGCTCCCGCCGAAGCGTCCCAAGAGAGTTCGGAAGAACAAGGCGACAGACGCGATGACATCGGCAGGAACTAGGCAGCAACCATGGACGGCATGCAAGATAACCAAGGAAGTATATGACCTTCGTCAACGGTACGGATATTGCCTTTGGTGCAATGGTGTCACTCACTTGACCGCACAATGCCCCGACAAGGGCAAGGCACGTGTACCCTGTCCAGCAAACTCGGGAAACTGAGTTGCGCAAGGAGAGAGGTGACGTCTCTCCTCACTCCGCCGGAACCGGTTGCCTTGCTAGCAATCGATGTCACTACCGGGGAGCATGCGTTAGTCGCTGATTCTCATGCTACGTACGAGGAATATGCCGCCCAGCTGGTACCACCACTAGACCAGCCGAGCCACGTGCACTTAGATTGCGTATGCGCAGCTTGTACACCGTCGACAAGTAATCCGGTCAGCTTGCCACTGATTTTCGAGGACTCGACGGCGTGGTCAAGACTTGAGGAGCTTGACCCGCTCACGAAAGAGGACTTCGCTTGGACTTCCCTCAACCGGAACCTTGCCAAGGCCGCATTGCAACGCCTCAATGGCAAACCTACGCTCCTATTTGCACACTACAATACCAGCTCCGTTGACGGACGACGGGGTAGCGGTTGTCGATCTCCGCTCCTATCTTGCGAAGATTGACCGCGAGTACGCCACCCAAAGGTACGCCGAAACCGACGCGCCTTTGCTCTATATCCGCATTCAAATCGGAAAGGCAACATGTAGTGCCTTGATTGATTGCGGAGCATCTGGCAACTTCATGAGCCAAGCCTTTATGGCCCACGCAGGCCTTAGCCCGCGCGTTCGAAGGAAGACGCAACCTACGCAAGTTACACTCGTGGACGGCCACACGCAAAAGTCAATTGACCGATGCGTCGACGACGTTCCGGTATACTTTGCGCCACTTGCGTGCGAGCCGGTGTCTTTTGACATCCTCGGCACCAAGTTCGACATGATTTTAGGCATGTCGTGGTTGCGTAGCGCCGATCATCCGGTGAACTTCCACGACCGGACAGTTCACATCCGTGATCGGAACGGAGTGTTAGTCCCATGTACGGTCGCGACCCCTCACACTTCGATTGCTTGTCACGTGGTTTCCGTTGCGAGAATTCGCGATGCCATAGCTCGGAATGACGTCGAGGAGATGGGCCTTGTATTCTTGCATGCTCTTCCCTCGTCGGACGGACCAGCCACGCCACCGCCGAACCCACACATTTCTCACCTCTTGGACGAGTATAGAGACGTCTTCGAGGCTCCCACCGGAATGGTTCCGGATCAGCCCATACGTCACGTGATCACTCTCGAGACTGGTGTCGTCCCTCCGCGTGGATGTATTTACCGCATGAGCGAAGAAGAACTCGAGGTGCTTCGCGCACAACTCGATGACCTTCTCGACAAGGGTTGGATTCGCCCTAGTTGTTCGCCTTACGGTGCCCCTGTTCTCTTCGTTCGGAAGAAGAACAAAGATCTACGGATATGCATCGACTATCGGAAGCTTAACGCACAAACCGTAAAGAACGCCGGCCCTCTCCCTCGGATTGATGATCTCCTTGAGCGGTTAGGCGGCGAGACGTACTTCTCGAAGTTGGACTTGAAGTTGGGCTACCACCAGATTGAAATCCAGCCTCAAGATCGGTACAAGACCGCGTTCAAAACGTGGTACGGGCATTTTGAGTGGGTTGTCATGCCATTTGGCCTCACCAATGCCCCCGCGACTTTCCAAGCAGCTATGACGACTGAGTTTCGCGACTTGCTCGATCGCAGCGTCCTCATTTACCTCGATGACATCTTGGTTTATAGTAGGACGTTGGACGAGCACATTGTACACCTTCGCGCTGTTTTGGTCACTTTGTCACGCCGAAAGGCATTCGTCCCTTAGCGGACAAGATCCAAACCATTGTGGATTGGCCGGAACCCCGTTGCACGACGGATGTACGCTCTTTCATGGGTTTGGCTGGATATTATCAGCGATTCATCGAGTCATACTCGAAAGTGGCCGCTCCTTTGTCGAGACTTCAATCCCCGAAGGTGCCCTTCGAGTTCGACGACGCAGCCCGTGGCGCGTTCACTACGTTGAAGGCAGCAATGCAAGCCGCACCTGCCCTCCGTATACACGACCCACCCTTCCCACCCTTCCCACCCAAGTGACTACGGACGCTTCGGGATACGACATTGGTGCGGTGTTGGAACAGTGTCACGAGGACGGTTGGCATCCGGTAGAGTACTTCTCCCAAAAGGTGCCTCTCGTAAACACTCTCGACAACGCTAGGAAGAAAGAGTTTCTCGCATTCGTCACCGTTCTCAAACGGTGGTGCCACTTTCTTCTCGGTCGTCGGCATTTTAAATGGAATACGGACAACAATCCGTTGACCTTTTATAAAACGCATAATACGGTCTCTAGCACGATAGGTCGATGGATGTATTACATTGAGTCAGACTAGTTCGACTTTGACCCGTGCCACATTCCCGGTCCCGCCAATCGAGCTGCGGACGCCCTCTCACGACGGCCCGATTTTTGTGCCATTGTGACAACGGCATTCGACCTCGATGACGATCTGCAGCCGCATTTCGTCAAAGGCTACAAGTCCGATCCGACTTACTCCATGCTTTACGCAGAGCTTTCATCGGATCACCCGCCGGCTAGCCACTATCAGATTTCCGACGGGTTCCTTCTCCTTCACACGAGAGGAAAGGACTTGTTAGTTGTGCCCCAAGATCGCATCTTACAGACTCGTCTTCTCAGCGAATTCCACGACGCACGACTTTCAACACACCTTGGCGTGAACCGCACATTAGCACGCCTCCGCTAGCGCTTTCACTGGCCCGACGTCCTTCATGACGTCACGAGGTACATTGATTCATGTGCAGTTTGCCACCGTAACAAGGGTCGATCTCGAGTCCCCTTCGGCGAACTGAAACCGTTGTCGATTCCTCGGGCACCGCGCCTCTCCATTGCTATGGACGTGACAGGCCCATTCCCCCGCGATCACCTCGGCCATGACGGTATTCTCACGGTTGTTGACCGTTTGAGTAAGTATGCTCGCTTTCTTCCTTACAAGTATCATGGTGCAGCACCTGAGCTCGCACGACTCTTGCACACCGGTTGGATTACCAACCAAGGTGTTCCGGAAGACATAGTGAGCGACCGAGATGCTCGCTTCATGTCGGCCTTTTGGACTTCCCTTATGGCTGAGTCCGGTACGACAATGAAGCCGAGCTCGGCTCGGCACCCGCAGACGGATGGCGAGACGGAGCGAGCACACCAGACCGCTCAGATGATGTTGCGTACGCTCATCCGTCCCGACCAGAAAGATTGGGTTGACCGGCTTCCCGACATTGAGTTCGCCTACAACACTTCGGTGCATCCGGCGATCTGCGTCACACCATTCGAGCTTCATCATGGTGGAGAGAAAGCACGGATCTTCGTTGATCTCCTTCTGCCACAGGCCGCCGACATAGACGTCCCTTGCTCTCCCGCTTTCGTTCGGAAGTACGGGGACTTGCTGATCAAAGCCCGCGCGAATATGCAAAAGGCTCAAATCCGCATGCAGCAGCAAGTTAACCGACGTCGACTTCCATGTCCTTTCCGCGAGGGAGACCTTGTTTGGGTCCTCTYCGAGGAATTTGCGCTCGAGCAGGACGTTTCGCGTAAACTCCTCCCGAAATGGTTCGGACCATGGGAAGTCACTTCTGCCGTTGGAGACGATCCCGCAGGTCCTTCCTTCGTGATCAACATTCCACCGCACCTGACAGTGCATCGAGTCTTCCACGCATCGAAGCTGGCCATCTACACGCCACCTTCAAATGACGAGTTTCCCGGACGTCGATCACAGGATCCGCCCTCCATGGACGGACATCAGGAAGTGGACCGAGTCATCACGCACCGCAAGTATGGCAACAAGCCAAGGCAGTACAAAGTCACATTCAAGCAATGTGCGCCTGATGACACTCGGTGGATCTCTAGTGCAGACTTGCAGACTTTTGCACCCCTTATCTTCACCGACTATGAGAAGCGACGCCTTGCTAAGGAAGCAGCTCGTCCCGCCCGACCCACCCCGGTATCGGACAGACAACTCCGCCCTCGCAGGTAGCTCGGTCTTTTAAGAGGGGGAGTGTGTTACATCTTCGACGCCACACGGGTCCTACCGGACCCGACTTAGGGCCAGAGGGACACAGTAGGGCCTAAAGGCCCGAACTTGGGATACAGCAGGCCGTAAAGGCCACGTTTTTGGACCAGACCGACGAGCAGGCCCAAACAACATTCTCGTTTTGGGCCTGGCGGTGCTTTTGAACCTGCCGCCCGCCGATCTGATTTGAACTGTCGATCTCGACGGTTGAGGTCATGGCCAGGCCTCGCAGCATTGAGGCCGGCCTCTTGGCCACCGGTACTTACACCGGTACCAGCCTCATTGAGAGGCATCGAGCCACCGACATGCTGCATCATGCCAGTGCGTATCGGTTGAGGAGCAGCGCTATTCTTAGCGCAGGAGCAGCAGCAGCAGCAGCATCGCCGAGGAGAGCAGCCAGACAACGGACAGCCATCGCCGACTTCGGCTGCAGGCAGTTGCGACGGACCAGGTATCCGGGAGTGAGGTCTTCTCCTCCCTCCACGGTCCCTGGCTCCCCTCTTCCTCACCTCCTCCTCCTCTATCTCATTTCTTCTTCTTCTTCTTCTTCTTCTTCTTCTTCTTCTTCTTCTTCTTCTTCTTCTTCAGACTTCTTCTTCTTCTTCTTCTTCTTCTTCTTCTTCTTCTTCTTCAGACTTCTTCTTCTTCTTCTTCTTCTTCTTCTTCTTCTTCTTCTTCTTCTTCTTCTTCTTCTTCTTCTTCTTCTTCTTCTTCAGACTTCATCTTCTTCTTCTTCAGACTGGAGACTTGATACTAGTTGGACAGAGATCAGTGTTGGACTTCGGTGGTAAGAGGCTGTGGTACTTACCAGGTTCGAGACTTGGAGATTGTTGGGATGATACTCGGCTGCATCACAGATTGGACACCGGTTACATTAGGACTCTGTATCTCCGACATTGGTGACTTATTGTCCRCGACATTTGATCTTSKTCGATGACATTTTGGATTACCATATCGGTGACCTACTGGTTTCTATSTCGRTGACRTCTGGTGCTACCTACATCTCCCACCTCCTTCGTCTCTCCYCCCACCTCTCATCTGTGTATGTTTGTACGGGGCCTGAGCATCRTCTGTGCTTGGCTCAGACCCCAACATCTCACGATTGTTTGTGTGTGGAGTGATATCTGTGTGAGTCAGTCTATGTGAGTCAGTCCATTATCAGACTTCCGCTGCATATATGCTCATCCTATATTGGTTGATCTTTGGTTCTGCCCCATACTCGTTGAAGTATTCACGAGTATTTAACAATCTTCGTCGGCGTTGTTGTCGTTGTTGTCAGCGTTCTCCCCCCTCTCCGCCATGTCATTGGTGTTCTCTCCCCTCTCCTCCATCGCGTTGGTGTTGCCGTCGTCGTCGTCGTCGTCGTCGTTGTTGTTGTTGTTGTTGTTGTTGTTGTTGTTGTTGTTGTTGTTGTTGTTGTTGTTGTTGTTGTTGTTGTTGTTGTTGTTCTCCTCCTTCACTCCTATCTCACCCAGTTCGCCCATTCACCGCTCGCTGTCGTTGTTAAATTCGCTATTGTTGTTGTTGTCAATGTTGTTATTGTCCTTATTGCTGTCAACCATCCCACCCTTCTCTCCAATCCCGCCCATTCCTTGCCTCTCCTCAGCCGACCCCTGCTCCACCTCCAATATTGTTGTTGTAGATGTTGTTGTTGTTACTTTTGCCGTCTCCGCTGCCGCTGCCGCCGTTTCCACCACTGCCAATAGCCCCCACTCCCCTTCCCACTCACCTGCGTCATCAGTGGTATATTCCCCCTCCCCATCGCCAACTGCACTCTCATCCCTAACCTCCCACACACTTGCGTCATCAGCAGCATATGCCCTCCCTCCATCACCAACTGGACTCCCCTCCTCAACCTGGTAGGACAGTGCCATCAAGTTAGCCCACCTTTCTTCTCCCCCCCCTTCATCATCAGCGGCATATTCCCTCTCTTCATCGCCAGCTGCACTCTCCTCCTCAACTTGGTAGGACAATGCCATCAAGTTAGCCCACCTCACTTCTCCCCCCCTCTCATGCTCATCACACTCACGCACAGCAACAGCACAGCTCGTCTCTCTTTCAGATTTCCAGATCTCAGACATAGCACAAATACTTGTATAATAGCGGAGGACATCACAATCATCATCTTGCTTACCTTCAGCAACTTCTGTAAGTGAGACGCCATCTTCATTGTCACCGAGTGTATCCTGTAGTCGAGATGCTCCACGTTGTAGCTCCCCTACCATCTCCATCCCTCACCCAAATTGTTGCGCCACGTATTGCTATTCGCCATCGGTCTTCAACGCTGGCACTACCCCTGCCCGCGCATCGCGGACATTCTCGTCCCTACAGCAGATGTCACGTGGCAATCGAAGAGCCACGCGGCACTGAGGCCTAGCGGCCTCGGAGCTTACGTCCCCAGGCGCTAGTCGAGCCGAGGGAACCGGGCCTACCGGTCCGCCGGTGTCGGGACGCTAGCGCTAGCACAGCATCTCCCCTGACTCTGTGTGTTTCTTTTCTGGTACTCTTCTCAAAAAGAAAAAAGAAAAAGCATGGCCAGAATTAAAAAAAACGACGTGATCACAACCACAGAAAAGAAAAAGAAAAAAACACGAACACCCCTCTGGACGTGATACACGGTAGATACCTGCCCCAAAGTTGTGGTGCTAGTATGCCCTCAGTGAGGGCTTTACCACAGGGGCTCGGACAGACTAGGACCTATTTACGCCTGTGCTCTTTGGTTTTCGACCATGTGCGGCCGTCCATGACATAAGTCAATTGTTGATCCTTTTCCGTATCGAGTGCTAGTGTCTATTGTCTTCGTTTTCATGGAGGTAGCTGCCCTTCTGCCAGTAGAAGACTTTCAAAATTATTTGTTGGTCATTCAGTTTGCCACTTTGCATTGGAGGGAAGCTTCAATTCTATGGTTTTCAAAGGGGGAGGGGCGTTTTTGGAGCTTCAGCCCGTGATTTTTTTATGTGCAGAAATACACAATATTGAGCTTTCCGTGGAAGACTGCTATCTTGTGTGTGCACTGACAGTTCAACCCACCGTGGCAGACGGCGTCATTGTAGTAAGCTATCCCATTGCAAGGCTTAGCGTGGGTGTATCTGAAGAGGCCGGCGGGAAGGCCGCATGCAGATGTACCGCGAAGGCATTGCCCTCCTTAGAAGGACAGCTCTGTCGAACGGGAACACCCGCAAAGTGTGGATGCGCAGGCTGTACTGTCATGATGTCTATGTCCGCTCGTCAGCTTCCTTCACTTAGACTGTTTTTTTTTTTCTCTCGTTTGGGTCCTTTTCTCTGCATTCGTGTAAATGAAAAAACACGATGTTGATGTGTTTTTCAATAAGAAAAGAATGCCACACACCGTTTTACACGATGCTAGTCGGTCCGGGTCCCAGGGGCTACGTCCCACTAGAGACGTTTTATTCGTTGTGTGACTACTTTTTTTCATTTAAACGGTAGGGAAAACTGTGTTTTTCGCTGTTTTTTTGCTTTTCTTTCTTCCGTGAATGAGAAAAAGAAAACACTGTTCTGACACGGGCAGTCGCTGGAAAAGCCCCTGCGGCCGTGATACACGGATGGTTGCAGAATCTGGTGCTGCATGTGTGCCTTGTATTCTGGACTCCGCCAAACATGCCTGTAGACCCTTTTGTGCACATTACTTCCGTATCTCTCCGAGTACAAGCCCAAATACGGGTTGTGCAAGATCGTGGCTGAATGCTAAAGTCCACCTCACGACCTCGGCCGTGGTGAGTGAAAACGCCATCTTTCCATTTCGGGCAGTGCTACCGGAACAGAGCCCTCCGCTTCGGAAATGTCGGGCAGTGCTACCGGAACAGAGCCCTCCGCTTCGTAAATGGTGTGCCGAAGCACCGCAAGCGAAGTTGAAGTTCCTTCGGTGGCGTGCCCCCGGGCCCACTGTAGTTCGGATGCAACAAGTGCCGCCGAAATTGAGTAACGGTTCCCTCCGCTTCGTCGGCCTGTTTTTTTTTTTTTAGCTCACTGTACACCACCAACCACCAACCACCAACCAACACCCGCCCCCACTACAACTTCGGCCTTTGACCCCCTTCACATGTGAACATCCTCTTCATTTTCAATCTCACCCGCTACGACAGAGCCGACGTCTGTGCATCGCCCTTCCATTAGCTTAGCGTGAAACGTTCTTCATCAAACCATGTGCCGGCGTTGAGAAGAAGGGATCGGGAACAGCTCGCAGTCGCAGTCATGGCTACGACAGGGAGGATGGCAGAGGATGCTTTTGACATTGTGGACAGCATATGCCATAAGAGGACGCTGAGTCTCCAGGGTTTGCTCAAGAGCGGCAACGAAGGCCTCCTCTTGGGCAACGATGATGCAGATGATGATAGCCGTGGGGGAYGGTCTTTGCTTTGGCTGTGGCCCACTATTGTTGATGTCTGCAAGCTGTTGCCCCCTGCTTCGCCTAGGTGGTGGGTCATGCGGCGAACAGATGGGCTGTGGAAGGATCTCCTTCCGTGTGATGATGCGGAGGATGACCACTACTTGGGTCTGTTACGCATGCGGCGGTCATCATTCAACCGTCTTTTGCGGAAGGTCGGTCCCCTCTTGGAGAAGGAGGTGACAAAGTTCAGGGTCCCTTTGGATCCTGCGAAGAAATTGGCGTACGCTCTCCACAGGTGGGCGCACGGTGACTCGCATTGGCATACTTGTTCCGGCTACGGTATGGGCAAAACCAGTGGACTTCGAGCCATCCGAGAGGTGGCTGATGCCATTATCACGTGTTACCGGAACAAGGTCGGGTTTGGGGGTTTTGCGGAACGTCATCGTAGAATGCAGTTGTTTGACGCGTTGGGCTTCCCGAACTGTTGGGGGTGCATAGACTGCACCCACGTTTATATGGACAAGCCGCGCACGAGGGATGGGGATGACTATTGTTCGGGAAGATTCAACAGGTTCTCCATTGTAGCACAGTTGGTGGTGGACTCGGAACTGAAGATCCTGGACTTCTGCTATGGATTCCCAGGGACTGTTGGTGATGGACGCGCGTTGAAGTCGACATCTCAGTACAGGCGCGGTCTGCAAGGTTCTCTGTTCTTGGACGACCCCGCTGATCCTTTCGCTGGTGAGAGGCCGGCAATTGCAGGTGTCCCTGGCGGGTACTTGCTCGCCGATGGTGGGTATCCCAGTCTACCATGGATCGTCACTCCTTACGGCCAGCAACCGAATCTCACAACTGCCATGCGACAGTTCGATGCACTCCACAAGATAGTGAGATCTTGCGTGGAGCGTTTTTTTGGAGTTTTCAATATGCGGTTCCAGTTCTTCTATCGTCCGCATGTGACCGATATAAGGAGGGAGGGTTTGGAATTCGAAGCCTGTTGTATTCTCCACAATCTATTTCAGGAATGGGGAGACATGCCGCAAGAGGACTTGGAGTTCTCTTATGTGTCTTCCCCGTGGTGGACGAGGAAGTATGGGACTAACGCTTGAATTCATGTTCGGTCGCGAACGCGGGCAGGCCGTGAGAGATGCACTGTGTGCAGAAGTGGTCCGCTTGTATGAGCTTCGGAGGGAGCAGTGAAATGGGCCTCGCGAGCAGACCACTGTGGCACGGGTACTGACGTTCATTTTGGTGCCACTACAGACGTTTTACCGCTGAAGGGCTGCTCACTTGCTGTCCATTGCTTTGATCATTGTTGTGCTGCAACAGACCGTTGGGTTCGGCTGAGTTCCTTACGAAGGACCAATGGCGGGGAGGGACTTCGTGAGGGAGAGGCGTGCGGTGTTGAATGAAATGGAGAAGATGGAGAGGGAGGTTGTATGAGTCCACAAGTACTTAGTGGAGAGGGGTGATAGCATCACAGTCACGATGCGTTGCAGTAGATCTGTTTGTGAAAGTGAGATGTCCCTCGAGAACATTCACGCTCGGAGATGGGCAAGTTCCGTTCTCAAGAGACTTCGTGCTTCAAGGGATAGTCTGCGACATTGCTGCGACGAACTTGTCATCCACAACCTCCAGATCCGACGAGATAACGACGAGTGGAGACGAATGTGGATGGAGAGCCGAGTGGAAGTACGGGACACTACCCGAGCCTTGCATGCTGCAGTTCGAGACAGGGACAAAGCTCGGTCGAGGTGCGAGGCGGCAGAAGCGGACGTGCAAGTGGCACGTCAGCAGGCTGAAACCGCTTGGAGGTTCTACGATGACATTGTGCGTGGAGTGGCGATGAGGACTGTTGGTGACAACGATTTGTGTGACGAATTCGAAGCTCTTCGCGTCGGTGGAAAGGGAAAAGCTGCAGGCACCTCATCAGCAACAAAGGGTGGACATGGGGCCACATGTTCGTGTTGCGAGGAACTGAGTGGCAGGATGAAAATGATGGAGAAAGAGATCGCACATCTTCAGATTAGTAACGAGCTTCTCAGGACGCGACAACAAGAAACACGAAGATGGCAAGGCTCAGACAGTGAGTGCGAGACAACAAGAGCCAAACTAAGGAGTCACGGAGGCGGTAGGCAACGACAGCGCGACAACAGCTACAAGCATAGTGATGGTGAGTCGATCAGCGGATGGGAGACAACATGAGCGGGGCGGCGGAGGGGGTAGGTGGCTAAGGGGAGATCGACAGTAGCTGAGGCGGCAGCGGCTACGGACGACCACCAGAGAAGGAGGAGGCAAGGTATGAGCAGGCATCAGGGACAACGATGAAGGAGCGAGCAATAGCAGCGAGCGATAATGGTATCAGGGACAACGACGAAAGGAGCGAGCAATAGCAGCGAGCGATAATAACAGCGGTGAGGGAGCAGGAGATAGCAGCAAAGGGGCGAGCAATAGCGGCGAGGTAACAAGGGTGGAGTAGAAAGGAGAAGGAGGAGGCAAGAAAAGAGAAGGCATCAGGGACAACGAGGAAGGAGCAGGCGATAGTAACAGCGGCGAGGGCGCAGGCGATAGCAATGAAGGGGTGAGCGATAGCGGCGAAGGCCCCGGGCAACCGGCGACTTCCTTTGGGGCCTCGGGGGTCATAATCCCCCGAAGAAGGAAGGGAAGGAGCTCGGAGGTGCGCAACTCTCCTAACTAGCCCCCCCCCCCATCCCGCCTCTCCCCCCAACCCTGCACCCACCCGATCCTCGTCGTCCCCCCCTCCTATCCCATTCCCTCCCAGCGTCTTTCCTCCCGATCCCTCTCATGACTCCCGTCTCTGTCCCACTCCCTTCTATCCACGATCTCCCGCCCTCGATTCCACTTACCCACTGATTACCCGCCCCCGACCTCCCGCCCTCGACTCCGCTTGCCCACTGATTACCCGCCCCCGACTATGCCCCCGACTCCGTTTACCCGCTGATTTTCCGTTTACCCGCTGATT